TTTATTTATTGATCTGCAGTCTGACTGATGATCAGAGGAAACTGGGTTTTAGTGCCAGCAGAGGTCTCTGCGGTTTGGATCTGATCAAGTAGATCTAGGATTAGACTTTCATATGAGGTGAAATTTAATCCCAGAGAGCTTCAGATCCCCTCAGTGTCTCCAGAACCTCTGGTTCCTTAGGGACGGAGCAGATTTGGAACGAGCCACCAAACATCTCCACTAGCTTTGTCTGAAACATTCAGGCTCTGGTTTAAACTTTTATAGAGGATTACTGTGGATGTACCAGAACCAACAGGTCCAATAGAACCACTAGCAGACCAGCCTCCTTTATTTCACAGAAGTAGAGCTCAGTCCCTAAATCCAGAGCCCAACCTGGAAGGTTTAAACCCAGACTTCACTGTTAGAGATAGAGCTGTTAGCATTATGACCTGATAACCTGATGACCCGATGACCTGATGACTGGATGACCCGATGACCTGATGATTGGATGACCCGATGACCTGATGACCTGATGACTGGATGACCCGATGACCTGATGACCCGATGACCTGATGACCTGATGACCTGATGATTGGATGACCTGATGATTGGATGACCTGATGACCCGATGACCTGATGATCGTGTCCTTCAGAACCAACCACCTGAAGGAGAACCCTCCCAAAGCATGGATCCAGCTCCCTGAGAACTCCAGCAGGACTGTGGGTCTACCTGTTTCTATTGCCTCCTCCCCCTGTAGACCGAAGGCTGGGAGGAATCCCAGTATCTGATGGTACTGGGAGCAGCTGAGGCATGGTGGTCATTCAATATTTCCCCACTTTCCTTAGCTGTTCTTTTGCTGGTTCTTGGCTGTTCCTTGGCTGTTCTTTTGCTGGTTCTTGGCTGTTCTTTTGCTGGTTCTTGGCTGTTCCTTGGCTGGTTCTTGGCTGTTCTTTGGCTGTTCTTTGGCTGGTTCTTGGCTGTTCCTTGGCTGTTCTTTTGCTGATTCTTGGCTGTTCCTTGGCTGTTCCTTGGCTGGTTCTTGGCTGGTTCTTGGCTGTTCCTTGGCTGTTCCTTGGCTGATTCTTGGCTGTTCTTTTGCTGATTCTTGGCTGTTTCTTGGCTGTTCTTTGGCTGGTTCTTGGCTGTTCCTTGGCTGTTCCTTGGCTGTTCTTTGGCTGTTCCTTGGCTGTTCTTTTGCTGATTCTTGGCTGTTTCTTGGCTGTTCTTTGGCTGGTTCTTGGCTGTTCCTTGGCTGTTCCTTGGCTGTTCTTTGGCTGTTCCTTGGCTGTTCTTTTGCTGATTCTTGGCTGTTTCTTGGCTGTTCTTTGGCTGGTTCTTGGCTGTTTCTTGGCTGTTCCTTGGCTGTTCCTTGGCTGATTCTTGGCTGG